GGACAGAAAAAAATGGAGCACCTTTCATTATCTACTAGACATATGTCAAATTAATTTTAAATTCATAGTTCTAAGAGAAAAGGTTCCCCCCCCCGCCTTTTCTTTTTTTTCTTAAACTGGGCCAAAGCAGGTAGGTTGTATAGTTTTTCTTTTTGATCTTCACCTTAATTCCTGGGGAAAGAGGATCTGTAAGAATCTGCTATGTATAGAATTTTATTGACAAGCATTAAAGAAAACCTGCCTTATCAGCCAGAAAAATAGTGATAATCTGCAGCTCTAATAATTTTAGGATAGTCCCTAAAACAAGTGCTTGGTAAAAAATGTTAGCTGAGGACCCTCCCTGGTGGCACAGTGGATTAAAAAAAAAAAAAAAAATGCAGCACTGAGAAGCGAAAGCCACTTCAGCATGAGCTCAATCCCTGGCCCCAGAGGTGATCCACATGGCGTGGCAGACCTCTCCTGACCTGCCTGCTGCTCCCCTCAGCAGTGTACTTAGTCAATCTGCCTGTCCTGCTCCCCACTCTTTCTCTGGTGAAGCCTCTCACCACCCCAGCACCTCTGGCCTATACCCCAGTTCTGTATGCACAAATAAATAAATCTTTAATTGTTTTTTAAATGTTAGCTGAATTCCTTCTGAATGATGATATAACAGGTAACATGGGTTAAACACCTATCATGTGTCACCCCTGCTGATCTGTGTTTTTATATTAATCCTCACAAAGCCCAAGAATAGGTCCTATACTTTACTATCGTTATCATTACCACATCCTCAGTGTTTTATCAATAATGAAACTGAGGGAAATAACATTATACATATTCTGCTCCAGAATACAAAATGATAGAATTTAAGTAGATTATGGCTTCAGAACTTAGCTTCTTAACCATTAACCTATTCTGTTCATTAGGAAATCTAACCTTATAGTTTAGATTCAGTCTATTCTCCAAAGCCAAAGATACAAGGGCTGTTCTACTGGATACAATGATATAATACCAATGGGAAATAATAAATGCTTCCACATAGAAGAGAAATGTGCAGATAGACAGGGACTACAAGAAGATGCCAAAACAGTACAGAGGGAAATGAAGAGAAAAAATCAACATCTAAAATGGAAAAATGGAGAACATGCTATAGAAAACAGATGAACTACACTATACACAGAAATAAACTATCAAGAGCTGTGTTTCTAATGGAGTTTCAATAAACACAGATTCAATAATAGCAGACTTAGTAAAATGCAGGTATGGTCTACAACAGTCAGCAGTAAGTAGTTTCATTAGAGTGGAGCTGGTTTGATAAAAGAAGGTGCTAGAAGCAGACCTTTGCCTGCATATATATACTTTAAAAACAAAACCCCAGAATGACTGATAAACAGCAAACTAAAGCTGTATGTTAAATTATCGAAAACCATTTGGGAAAAAGAAATGTTGCAATAAGAACTCTGTTGCCTTTGCAGCACAAACTCGAGGGACACAATAATCACGGAGCAGAGGTTTGCAAGGCCAGACTCCGCTACTTGAGCAGAGGCTCTTGTGCCATTTATTGAAATCATACAGTCTAGTAAAAGCTGATCATACAATAATGGTAAGAGGAATGAAGTCCGGAGGGTGTGACAGAAATGGGGGACAAAGATTTATGAGGGACAGGGAAGGGGACATGGTGAGCACGCACATTTAATGTTATCACAGGCAGAATTATCCCAAGACTGCCATGGAGATAGTCACATAATCAGGTCAACAGCAGCCTAGGTATCCCCAGGACTGCCTCGCAATATGAGCTATACCCTGTAGGTAGTCAGGGAGTTGTTGCTGTGATTTGTAGATAGCAAATAGGTCAGTTTTCAATCAGTGACTAGCTCATTGGAGAAGCACACAAAGATAATTATTCATTCAGAAATACATTAAGATAATATAAATGCACCTCAAATTTGCATGTATATTATCACTGCATGGACCACACTCAGAACTATAGAAAACTGGCTGACTTGACAAGAAGTTACTGTTCATGCTTAAACAGAGGTCACACTTGATTTTGGCGTGAGACCATAGCTCTACCAGTGTACAGACATTCAAGAAAAAACAAGCAAAGTCACTTTGAGCATTCAAGATATAGGAATGAAAAGAAGATACCTGAACACATCAAGCCTTTTAAAATAATAGCAGGGATCTTAGGGCATTTTAGATTGGCATTGACGAAGGCTATAATTTTCTTCTAAGGTATATTATCACAATTTTTCAACCTGGATTTGAACCAACACTTATAAGTGCTCTCTTAGTTAATGCAACTCCACACCTAACACTTTGGTATGTCGTTCCACACTGCGATTATAATCCTGACTCCTTGGCTGATTGTAAAGAGTCATTTCTAAAGGCAGTAGACTGAACACATGAAATTAATATAGCAAACTGGAGTGGCTTCTTTCCCTTCCACTCCTTTATCCTCTTTTCAAATGAGGAAAACCATTTTTTTTAAACGTATTTCATAGTTTAGAATGATGCTGACAAGCTACTGTAAAATTTTGAAATATAACTATTGATCACTTGCATGACTACAAAACACAATTTTGTAAAAGCGAGAACAAATACAAGTAGATGTGCTCATAAAGGTTTAGGGAAGCCAACCAGGGTCTTAGAGAACAGTAGGCTGGCAAATGCTAATTTTATATGATGGTAAAGAAATCAAATTTTTCTGCAGTACTACTTTTATCAATTTTTTTTCAGTTTTATTGAGGAAAAAGCAATAATGCTCCTAATGTTTATATACTTTATTATATATATATATATATATCATTATATGTATATATATATACATACACACACACACTAAATGTAGTTTGTAATACATGCTTTACATATATTTAGTTTCTAATATTTTACAAACTAGATCCTATCTCATTTATTCTTCTTTAAACATTCTAAGTGACAAAAATTACATCTCCAACTTCACCATATGCTTTCATGGGACTTAAGTATCATCTAGTGAAATACTAAGGGGTGGGCTCAATTCTTTTAAAATCGACCTTAAAAAATCACTAACTCTTCTTCTTTCACCAGAAACTCTCAGGATACACACACTATTCAACTATGTCAAATGTGTCTGCTAAAGAAACAAGATACTAAAGTGAGGATCAGTAGACAAGGGCAAAAATAAACCAGATTAATTTGGCAATGAAGAAACCTGCCACCTCTTCTTGGCTGCAATGGGAAGAGTGTGACAGAATGGATATTCAGGTTTCATCCTGAGGTCAAAAGCTGCTATCACATAGACATGAATAACTGAAATTTCTAGTGTGGGCATCTGCCATTTCTTTTGTATGACTCTACTGTACAAGAAGCAGATGAAGGCAGAAAAGGAGGGTCTAAGGGCATGAGTATATTATGATCATCACTGACATAGACTGTTTTTAAAACATAATTTGAAATTCTTGACAGCTGTCTGCCACTTTCCATCAGGAAAGTAAGCAAAGGTATATAACTTAATAGAAGAAATTTTACTCATTTGGAAGAATAACTTTATAATAATTACATCTTATAACTTAAAAAAAAAAACAAACTTGTGATCTGATATTAAAGTGGTTTCCATGTTCTTAATATGCTATTGGTAAAACAACTCTTCTTTTATTCTAGCAAAAACAGAAAAATAAAGCCATATGCCTGATATCTTTAATAAACTAAATTTAGATTTCAACTTTAAAATAGATTTTGACATAAATGGCCTTAAAATAACAAAACATCATTCATTTGGGTCTTTTCCCAGTTAATTATTTACTGGCATAGCACTAGGCATTCCTTGGCTTCACCTTAAACCAACACTCCCAAGAGCTAATTAGGAGACTATATACATTATTAACCAGAGAATGCTGTGCTCACATCATGCATGTTCCATATGTATCCTATTATTAACATTATTCTTTCACTCTTGGAAAACTCTTTAGAAAACAAACCTCCTATTTAAACAAAGAAAGAAACTGGCTGTTATTGAGGAAATTCTTGTCAAGATGCAATTAATAGGTAGAAGCCAACATGACACACATCCTTGTCTCCAAGATATCCCTCACATGAATCAAATTTAATCTTCCTGAATTAGTCAGTGGAGAGAAGCTGAAGACTGCAGATGTTACACATTTAACAGAACCAATGGACTCCCTAAGTGAACAGCCAAACTTTCACATGAGCAAACCACTACCAAGCAACCAGACATCCTGGGAAACACAAGCCAACAATGTGCCTTTCCCTAGTACTCTCTTCAAAAGGCCACGGAACAGGTGGGAAAGGAAACATATGTAAACATGGCAGACCCAATGGTTCCCTAATTATGAAGGAGATAGGAGCTTCTCATTAATTGGCAAGCTAATTGACCACAATCTCAGTTTCATAAATTGAGTCCCATAATTCAGACTTGGTGTCTGTATGCCACAGATTTCTCCTCACACTTCCACACCTTTCATCCAGTCACAAAGTTGTCAGTTCTGCTTGATTTGTTTGAATACTGTACTTGACGACAGCTGTCGGAAACAGTACATCAGAACAGCTGCTATGACAGTGTGAGGGGCTTGGAAGTTTAATTGGGCTCAATGTGACACTGTGCATTTTTCTAAACATAGAAATATCCACTAAACTAAGGAAATTTCCCAGGGTCTGACCATGTTTACTGTTTGGCAATACCAACTGGTTAACCTCAGTTTAAATTTATAACATTCGTCTCATACAATCTTGGCTTTTGGGAAGATTAAGAGTAGCAGGGTAGGAGAAAAAAAAAAGACAGAGAAAATGGTAGGGACTATTAGCTGGATGAAAACGGGGGCATTAGGCAAGTGAGGAAATAATAAGGAAGTATGTCAATAATCTCTTTCAAAGACTGGCTGGTAGCCAAGGAAGATTCCACAGTGTCCAGAATTTACTTGCAAAGGAAATATATTCAGAGGCCCTGAACCTTATGCCAACTGCAAACAAAACTGCTCATTATGGTCCCAGCCCCCTGGAGGAGGGGAGGAGTGGCTTACTCTCAGCGTCCGCGTGGAGGAGGAAAGCTAGCAGCAGCAGCAGTGGCCTGGCTACGTGCACCATCCTTGCGCTTGGCAGCAGTGCGCGCCGGCAGCTTGGGGGTCACTGCCTGTGAAGCTGCAGCGGGTCTGTCTGATCTGAAGTTTCAGCTGGAACACTTTCAGAGCCTGTGAGGGGAGAGGCAGAGCACAGAAAGAAAGAAAGAAAGAAAGAAAGAAAACACAAAGTTGCTTAGTCTCCAATTTTCCTTTTCTACCATCCCAATCACCATGAGAGACACAACCCACTGTGAATACCCCGTAAATTATGACCACAGCGTCTTTGTGTTAGGAAGGAGATTATTTGATTTGTGAACGGTTGCCACTAGCATGCCTCCTTCCAATTTTCAGACCATCCTAAAGCCATTCACCTTGAATTTCACTATCTGCTTATGCCACCCTTTGGGCAAGCCACTGTGAGAAGAAACTGTCACTTCTTATGAAACATTACATGAACACATGAATGGAAGAAAGCACACCAATGCTGTAAGAAAGATTTAAGAGAAATTCCACGGTGTGGGATAAAAGTATATTACTGAGAAACGAATGGAAACTACTTTCACGGTATCAGGTGAAATGACAGGGCTAATTCAACTTCTTCAGTTAAATCGTAAAGGCTAATTTTTTTTTTTTATATTAGCACATTTGACTTCTTCCCTCAAGACACATCAAAATTCAAGTCTAGCTTCATTTCCATAAGTCAAAACAATAGTTACCACAATGTTCTTTAAGAGGACCCTTCAATGTCTCCTAGGCAAAGGCTTAATGTCAATATTCTATGATAAACTATTTTTGGAATGCCTACTGTGTGCAAAATATCAGAGATTTCACTTAGTATAAAGTGTCTCAATATGAAAAGTGAGTCAGATTCGATCCTTTCATCCTTCTGTGACATTCCAGTTGAGTAGAGAAAATAAGGCAGATGTCTCTTTTTCCCTTTTCCCAGGAAGGAAAATCAGATGATGCCATATAAGACAGGATCAGAAATGGCATCACGGAAAAATGCAATGTCTCCAATCAGGCCTTAAAACGTAGACAGGATTTTAACAAGACCCAAAAACATTCCAGGGGTTCTTTGCAAAGGCAGAACTGTAGAAAGGAACTTGGGAAAGTGAGTTTAGTAGCTTGGATGGAACAGGGATTTCCAATATCTCTGTTCTTCAGAACTACCTGGGGAAAAGGCTAGCCAGACCCCTTCTCCAGAATTATGGTTCAGAGGGCCTGAGTTAGAGTCTAAGAATTTGCACTTCTAACATGATTCGAAGCGATGCCAATGCAGCTGGTTCAGGACCACCCTAAGGAGAGTGATGGGTCCATTAGGAAACCAGAAAAATTTGAGGCCTAAGAACATGCTTCAGGCTGAGGGAGAGACACAAATGCCCATCTAAGGTAAACAGCCTTCATCAGTAACTATTTTAGAGCAGAGAAACTTCATGGAACTAGACTTTGGGAAGATTAACTGACAGCAGAATGTGGGATGACTTAGAGAATGCTTTTAGGCCAAAGCGAGAGTCCTGGGTGTGAAGCAACACAGGCCCCACTGACACCCTACAGGAATGGAACAAAAGGGAAGCAATGAGTGGCTCTGAGCAATAATTTGAAGTCTGCTTCCTCAGGTGATAAATAATTGATCCTATAGAAACTTCAGCCTCTTAAAGAGAATGTCTTAATAAAAAGGGGATATACTTTCTTCTTTGTCTTCATGCAAACTTGAAAAAAGGATATTAAAATTCATTTGTAAAAGGGATCAGTGTACCTTTAAGTTTTGTATATTGGAATATTTGAAACCCATTACAAGATTCTTGACAGGAAATACTAGAGATATCCTGAAATAAACCTAATCCACTAAAATAACTTGTACTTCCAGCCAGAAGTATTGTAACGCAGAGACTACAGTGTATCTTTTATGAAACAGAGCTTGAGAATGAGAACAAAAAAAAATTTTTTTTTAAGATATTATCTTTTTCATTACTATGCATGAGTGGTTTGAATACTGGAAAAGATAAAACTGAAAGGATTGGGGGAAGCCATTCTAATTACCATTCCACTAGATAGCCTTTTTTCTTTTCAAAGATTTGTGGGTGACATGAAGAAACAAGTTGTCCACTGAAATGCATCTACTTGAAACCAAAGCTAGCAGCTGCTCCAAATCAGCTATTGTTATCATTCTCATCTGGAAAACAACTTATCAAGCAGTTCACAGATATTAAATGTTAAAATTCTCAAAACTTCAAAGGAAAAGGGCTAAAGGAAACAGCTCTCCTCTCCTGCCTCCTCCCTTTCCCTCTCCCATTCTCATGTCAGCATTTCGAGTGACAGCAAAGTCCAGGAGACATCAGTCCTGTCTGACTCAATTTGTGTCTGTGCAAGCGTATCAGAGCCAACTGCTACATAATGACTCGGAGTGCTCCCAGAGATGGAGACGTATAAAATGCTCTCAGGGAAAGGGAGATCTGATATTTTCTCCTATGCAACTACCATTGTGTGAGAAGACCAAATTCTTCCAAATGAATCTACAAATGTTACCTCAGGACTTTGAGCTGTGACACAATCTAGTTATTAATGCAGGTGTATGCATACAGCATACATATTTATAGGTAAATGTGCAATAGCCCTTGGCCAAGATAGACACAAGCGATCAGAGATGTGAAGATAAAACCTACTCTAGATGTTCATTCCAGCCAGTCTCCACTAAACATCTTATTTGTTACATAGAAATTTTGCCAACAGGTAAATGCTGGCATGCACGTAGTAAAGTGGAATTTACTTGTTGGAACAAAAATGGGAAATGTGTTTTTAAGGAAATATTTACAAGTAAAAATAAGGATGCATGAGTAGTATAAGTATTTTCCATTTACCTACAAAAAAGTATCGCCAAATATTTTGCAGTGAAAAGAACAGGAAAGAGGTTCAAAGATATTGCAAACACCATGGTGTAGCTTACAACACCAAGTATTCTGCATTTGTCCAAAGCCCTCACAAAGCCAACAACGTGACTTTTATATACTCTGCCTTATGTGTTTCATAGCAACAGGAATAGCAGACAAAACTCAAACCTCTAGAAGAGTAAAAAAATAAAATAGAAAATATTTAAAACTCTGGTATAATACTGCTCACAGCATAAATATCTCAAGCAAGAATTCTGTTGATTTGCAGTGAACTAAATATCCACTATTGTATTTATGCACATGTGTAGTTAGAAAAGCCAAGAGTTCAGAGGATCAGTATATGCAATATAATGTGGAATGGAACCACAAAAAGAACACTTGCTTAATTAAATACCTCAACAAGTCACTGCTTCACAGGATCACATATATTAACTCCTGCCCATTTCTTTATCTTCACTTAAACACTGAAAACTTTTAACATTGTAATGAATAACCTCATACCCAAACTAACTAACATTTGAAGAATTTTTCAAGTTTTCTGTATTGCTCATATGTGTCCCTACATGTTGCTCAAGGAGGAGGGAAAAAAAGATAAAACATTTTTATTTCTTTTAAAAGTATTCTAACAGTCCCTTAGCAAAGTGAGTCATTATAGGTCTTATGTAGCAAGTATACAGTAGAAGTATGGAACATTTTGTTTTACCAAAAGCAAGGAAGTTTTCAGGAACTTAGCACTAAGTTATACACTAAGGCTAAAACCAAATGGTAAGATCCCATCATCCACATGCAAGAAAAGCTGAGTTACAGAAAGAATAACAGCTACAAAGAACTGAAACTCATGGTATTAAAATTTGTGGTTTCACAGTTTTCAAAAAAAAAAAAACTTTTAAAATTGTATTGCTCATCCTAGGATGAGATAATCAAATCATCCTGACAAAAGGGAGAGAAAGAGACAAAATAATGTTTTTTTCTTAAATCTCTCTAAGAACTTTTAAAATAAAAACATACCACCCTGGGGGCCTCTCTGGTGGCACAGGAGGTTAAAGCACAGCACTGAGAAGCTAAAGCCACTTCAGCATGAGTTTGATCCCCAGCCCTGGAGGTGACCACTTGGCGTGGCAGACCTCTCCTGACCCACCTGCTGCTTCCCTCAGTAGTGTACTTTATCAGTGGGTCTGTTCTGCCCCCAACTCTGTCTCTGGTGAAGCCTCTCACCACCCCTGCACCTCTGGTCTGTACCCATTCTATATGCATAAATAAAAAATAAATCTTAAAAAAAAAATTCCTACCACCCTAACTGGGATACAGTATCACTACTGGTTTCTCAACGTTTTGTTTCTTTCTATCTCAACCTTACTCTCAACTCCAAAAATCTTAGTAACAATAGTATCATAATGACATTAAACTGGAGCAGACAGTCACATAGAGACCCATACAACTGGGGAGATTGTATGGGCAGAAGAAATCCCAAAAAGCTTGTTTCTATCTACCTCCAAAGCCAATCAGACTTCTATAAAAGGACTAGAACAGGTTACTATTATTTAAGAAAAGCAACTAAATGTACACAAGACAAGCTAGCAGGAAAAGCCAATGTGTAAATCAGACAAAAAGTGGGGTTACTGTAGTTGAAGTCCCAGGAGGAACCTGGAGTTTTTTAGCAAGCTGTAAGGAAGCTTCTGAAGGAGCTCTCAGAATTTCCTCTGCCCTTAGCACACAGTTAAAGCACAAGGTCACGAGAAAACAAAAATAAACTTTCAATATTTCACCAACTCATGAGAATTTTCCAAGGAAGAAAGCCCACTAAATAATTATGATGTAGACAAGAATCCTCTAGTGCTGTTCAATATTACTTTCTACAATAGCGGGGTGTGTGTGTGTGTGTGTGTGTGTGTGTGTGTGTGTACGCTGCATTGACAAATTGATTTTAACATGGCCAGTGTCACGAGGAGGGGGGAAAGTTTCTTGTATTTAAATTTAAGTTTAAATAGCCATGTGTGACCAGTGGCTGCCCTACTGGACAGTGTAAACGACTGTTACATGTTTCAACAACACTCAGCAACATAGTTATAAAAAAGGGCTAGGTTTTCTAGATGTGGACTGAAACAATGTGTGGTTTTCCTTCAATTCTCCCAGTCTTCCCTGCCAAATAATCAACCCTGAAGATGCTCTGTATTTGCAAGGACACCCTTTTCAACTTTGAGTCATTTCCCCGTGCATTTTCCTTAATCAAACAGGGAGAAC